GCCAGTGACGCGGAGGTCGGCAAGTACAAGGTTGACAACTTCGGTGCCGTTCGCATGCGGCACACTTAGCTGCTGCAGCTTCCGGTCTAACCCTAGGTTTAGAGATGGTTAGAGTCTTGGAGGCTTAAGCTGCAAGGGTGGGGATGTGCGGTTTGACGAGGTTTATCATGTAAAGGCTTTTAAGCTCACCAAAAAGAAGAGTTTCAGGAACAACATATCATAGGTGTTGTCCTCGAGCGCAAACGGTGCCATCTACTGCTATAGAAGTTGAGTTGAACCTCCTGCACAAAAAACCCAAAGCTGCCCATCCGTGTTCATAAAAGGATGAACCGGTGGGTACATGTTGGAACACATGAAAAGTATAGTACATGTCCGGACACGAGAGTACATACACATTCACGCATGCATGCATATATACATATCCATTCCATGCTATGCGATGCGGTGTAATCTGACGCATGAGGTTACATGGATATCTATATGTACATGTATGCATGTTTGCATGTTTGTATGTATGTATGTATGTATGTATGTATATATGTATATATATGCATGTATGCACATCTGTTACTGTATACATACGTAAATGTGTATGTATGCATGTATGCATATCTATATGCATGTATGGATGTATGGATGGATGTATGTGTGTATGTGTATATATATATTTATGTATGTATGTATATATATATATATATTCTAGTGTGTATATGTATATATACACATGCATATATGCAGTGTGTGTGTGTGTGCCTTTGTGTGCTCATGTTGGAGTGTGAGAGTGTGAGGCTCGGCCAGCGGGTGGCGTTGAGCGCTGCCTGGATCTCAGTAAAACAGTCTGAGGTTTCAGGGTTTAGAGTTTACAAGGGCTTTAGGTTGCTGTGCTCTACACTGGTCTGTTTGGCAGCAAGGAGAGATCAGAGATGCAAACCATCGAGTTAAAGAAAAAACCAGAGCCGAAAGCTCTAAAAGCAAAAACTTCTAGCCAAAACGAAATGCGGCAGAGGTACGACTGAGCCGGAACGGAAAATAATCTGAGTTCGTGGCACTGCCAGTGCCTTGTGATTGTGATTCGATTTCACGCTTGATAATTATGAAATCGTCCTGATCTGGATTTCATACGGATATGTGCGCAGCGGCATCTTGTGACATTGTTCAAGCCCCCAGGCCCAATTCCTCCAATTACCACATGACTCAACGCATCGTCCCAACCAATGTATGCTCACCGCTTCGAGTGGCCGCAAGCTTTGTTGTCGAATGCCTGTTTTTTGCATACTGGAAGGCCTGTAGGTGTAAGCTTGTTACGCTAGTAGCGAGATTTCGTTCGCCAGAATTCCATCACCAATCATGTTGGCACCGCAAGATTTTGCTGGACTATTCCTACTCATGTGCACGCCCCCCCTTCAAGCAGCATTGCGATTGCTGCGGTTGTATCGTGACCCGCTGTGATCAGCACTGAGGCACAAGACCTCTTCTATGTTGGTGACACAGCCAGGTACGCCGTAGGGGGTAAGTTGTTCACTGAAGAACCAGAGTCTGGAAGGAATAAGAGACATCGAAAAGCAGGTTCTTCATATGACTACGAACCATGGCCAACATCGGCTCCCATCGTAGCGCGAGGGGCGAGGTTTGGCAGGGTACGGGGTTACCATGATGTTTTGCGACATGGCACATCATGAAGTTGCTCGACTAGGATTCCCTTGTGAGGAAGTCAAGGTCCACAGTGCTTACAACCCGGTTGGGATTTGTTGGGTACGTGGTATGCTCGAGTGGCCACACAGCAGCTTGAGTAGCTTGAAGCAAAATGCCAGCGTTGCCGACAGGGTTAGAATTAGAGTTGATCCTTAAGGAAGCGAGTTAAACTTCAAAGCCACAGTAGACTCGACACTTCCGGTTGAGTCCTTTCCTGCATCTTCAGCACTAGACAGTTTGTTCAAGCTACGGAGCTTCAAGCTGAAGTTTCGCGTCGGATTTTCGGCCCAAAGCTCACAACACTCTACCGTTTGGAATAAGTGCCGACGGCGGTTTCCGTGTATCAGAGGCCCCAGATCAGACACCGAGGGATTGTTTTCAGGCCGAAGCATGGGTGTTTCCGGCCTTATGCGGGACTTGAGCTAGGTACCGATTTGGTACAGTGGACTATTTTCCTTTACCACTATATTATAAATGTAGGACCATGACTGTGAATGACTATGAATAATATTGGGGGCTGTTGAGAACGACAGCTAGTGAACGATTCGAGCATGGGCTTCAATCTTTCATCAGCTTGTGGCCTTCATAGGCTTCAAGTCGGTTCCGAGGATTTAGGTTAGAGCAGGATGTAGGCCTTCGGGGAGGATTAGGATGTATAGTGACAGGCGTTTCAGCTATGTGTCATTCTTGCTACCCTGCAGGCCTTCGTCATTGCGGAAGGTAGACTCAGTAGACCAGCACCAACTCCTCTGACAACCGATTCGTTCACGAGCCCCTTCAATCCGCAGGCTCACAGTTCGCCGAGATGGTCGCATCCACAACTTGGAGGCCAAAGGGCCTGGCTGGGGATGTGCAGAACTGCCCTTCTCGAGATCAAGCCCTAAACCCTAGACCTGACAAGCCCTTCTTGACAGAGGTCTATGGGAGCTGTTAGGGCTGTTAGGCGGAGTCTGCACTCCTTGCAGGCGGGGCCCAGTCGGCCGCACATCCTTACCAACTTGTCCTCTACACCGCAGCATAAGAAAAGCCCTTACTAACTGTAAGCCCCTAGACCCCCGAACCCTAAACCCCTTATTCAGCCCTGAAGCCCGAAACCATCGGTCCCAGACCCTGAAGCTGAAGCCATTCAAAGCTTGCAGGTTAAACTCCGACCCTCCACGCACCTCGTGCCGCCTGGGCCCCGGGACATCGAGGGTGCTTCAGATGCTTTGGAAATAGGGAGGTTTATAAAGTTTATAGGGGGTTGAGGGTAGAAAGCAGATCGGCATCAACGGTTTGGTCTGCTTTCCCTCACAAAACCTCCCGATTCCGATTATTTCGGGGCATCTCAAACTTCACCCTAGACTCCCTAGGCCCTAGACCCCCTGTAAACCCCAAACCCTCAGCCCCAAAGCCTAAGCCCCTTTTGATGCTCAGAGCCTCAGAGACCCAGAGAGCTCCCCTCCTTCCAGGCGCTGCCTCTACCGCGGGGAGGTGGCTATTGAGCCGCTTGGGTCCGCAAGCGCAGGGAGAGTCGTTTTCGGGTCTGACCTGGGAGCTACGTGGGTAGCTTGAGGTATGGATGATCTCTTCTTGCGTGGGTTGCGAAAGCAGTGGTAGCTCAAGGTATGGATGATCTCTTCTTCCGGAGAAGTGAAGGAAGCTTTCGGCAAACAGGACGTAGGACTCAGATTGTCGGGTTATCCCAGCGTACAAGATGTGTCCTAGAGTCCAAGAGACCCTAAACCCGAAACCCTAAGCCGAAGCATTGGGGGGATAGCGGGCGGCGACGGCATCCTCCGACTCCGACGGACAGATGCTTTCAAGAGCCGAGAAGGCTCAACAGCTGGACAGGGAACTAGATCGCAAGACCGCTACTGCTTCGTAACTGTGGCGGTATGGACTATCATGAGCTTTCTTCCTTTCCATACGTAGGATGCCCCATTGTCGCGCGCATACATGTTTTCGGTTCTGAAGAACGATTAGTCTTTCGCAACAACCTTAGAGCTGCACCGCCTAGTTCTGGAAGCAGCTCGGATGCCGCGCACCATTGTTGTGAATTCTGCGACACTGTGCGCATGTTCAAAAAACCTCAAACATGGGAGTGTAGATATAGACCATGGAAGCGTCGCCACCAGCCTCGTATCGGAATCAATCACGCAGTCTTTGCACGAGCCTCCACCTCTGGACGACCAAGTTTAGTTCAGGGTGTAGTTAAAGTGGTGGGAGTGCTGAGCCTCGTCCATGCTGCTCCAACTTGCAATGGTGCAGAAATGCTGGTGACACTGGGCAAGAGGATGACGGCTTCACAACTCTTTGCGATCTTGCTACAAGCATCCGCAACGCCTGAAGTTGAACAACTCCTCGATGTGCCGCGAGACATGCCGGTGCGGTGCCGCTTTCGTGCGGAGTGGGACTTCAGCCGTTGCTGCGATGCTTCGCGTCCGGACCTACTGGATTCCACATGCTTCCGCCTACAGACGCCGGAGGGGCGCGACTATGCTATTCAGCATTGCTGCGACGATCGCCAGGGCCTCCGGGACCACAGCCGCATCGTGCAAGCTGTGGTCGGGATGGCTGGCTGCCTCTTCGGCTGCCGGTGCAATGAAAAGGCAAGCTTGGATTGCGACTGCGAGAAGACTTTCCTGCAAGACATGGAGCGCATCGCAAGCGATCTCAGGATTGCTCACCGCAACCGCTTCTGGCGAGTGGCTGGGCGATGGAGTGTGGGCAACCGGTCAGCCCATTGGAACAATCGAAGTGCCAATGCCATAGTCCTGGACTGCTCCGAGAACAAGAGGAGCGGCCTCCGGATGTTGGAGCATGTTCTCTTGAGCTTTTCCGGGGCCACAGTCGTGCAGGGAACAGAATCTCTCAAACTCCTTAGCCATGCCCTGGAACAACACCAGCTCATCTCGAAGAGTGAGTCCCGGACCCGACTGCGTGCGACACGTCGTAAGCTTCATCCAGCCCGCCTCCGAAATCGTTTTAAAACGGAAGTCTGGGAACCAGTTCATATCGCTATGGTTGCATCCATTGGTGAGCCAGTTAATGGGCGACGTGCGCTTGCAACAATTCGGTCCGCCCTGTACCATGCCAAGGAAAAGCCTTTGCACTTCCACCTTTTCGTGGATCAGGCTGGCCACGAAGACATGGAGTCCGTCCTGCGAGAATGGCTTGAACCAGAGCTGCACAGACGAATTGCTAAAATTTCCTGGTACGGTCCGGCCGAGTTTCCCCGGATCTGGCAGATCCTGCATGCTCGAGTGCCTGCAGAGTGTATGGAGGGAGCCGATGGGTGGAAGGGCGAGTATGGCTCACCCGGCTGGATGAGGCTTTTTCCAGAAGAGGTGTTTAAGAAAGAGCCAGATCACCTTATTTGGACAGACGCTGGTGATTACCTTTTCTTTGCAGATCCCGCCAAGCTTCTGCAGGAGCACTTGCGCGTGGTAGGCAGCTCCAAAGCTGTCGCAACTTATCCCTGGGAGAATCTGGGCTGTTGTTAATCCATAAGTGATCACAACGGGGCTCTAATGTGGTTGAAAATAGTATAAAAGATGGTGTCCCCATTGTGGTAATTTACAGAGCAAGTCAGACAGAGTTTGAAAGCACGGAAGTTTAAGTTCCTTAGACTTATAAGCTCTTGAACTCTGATAAGCCAGGAATGTCTATCCTTTGCAGATCTTCGCGTTGCAGCAGATGCGTGAGGTGCAGTGGTCTGCAACAGCGGAGGCGCTGGTACGCCGGCTGCTGCCTCTGGATTTCACCCATTTGTGCTACCGTGGCGAGGGCACATCCATGGAAGAGATGACCAAGCATTACCAGGACCTTTTTGCCCCGATTTCCGCAGAGTGGGCACACGAGCCTTGGCTACCCAACTTCCATCAATCACTGGTGAGTAAGGAGCGAAAAGGAGGCTACTTGCACACCCCTTCCGTGTGGGAAGATCGGGAGCACCCGGGCCTTCTCGATCCCACTCAGGCGTCCGTCTTTTGCCCAACGACTGCTGATCTATTCATACACTTTTTTGCGATCTGGCTCCATCCTCCAGTTTTCACCTTTGAGATTGCTCAGCTCTTGGTGATGAGCGGCGACTTAATTGCAGAGCAGGAGCGGATGCTCCGCCTCTATCGATGCGGAGCTCCTGTGAAAGGCATGCATCTGATCCGGAACTTCCACGACTGGGTGCCCTGGAGCCTCCGACTTCTGGACTTTTGGAGTCGACTCCCCGGCCTCTGGGGATATCGCAAGCGGAGCATCCCTGCTCGCTTGGATGAGCAGAGAACTAACCGCAGTGCCGACAGGCGGAGTAAAGCTACGCTGGGGAGTTTGCGAACGCACCGCAGGTTTGAGTGCAGGGTTTTAGTACAAGACTTCGTTACCAATTCTCTTACACTCGAAGTTTGGAGTCTTGTTCAGGGGAAATGTCGGCGCTTGTTGAGAAACCCCGCGAATCATGATCCTCTCGTTGTATGCGGCTCAGCTGCTCATGACTTAGCTTGACGAGCTTGCTGAACGGGAGCATCAGATAGTGGGGGACCCAAGTGTAGACCCCAAATTCTGTCTCAGGTTCCTCTTATGTTCAGACTTCTCTCAACTCGTCACTGGGTCTGATTTGTCATACTCCTGCCATAAGAGGAAGTTGGAGAACGCGTATGGAAATAACAGCGAGTTCGAAGCACATCAGCAATTACCAGCACATGTCGGAACGACCAGAGATGCATGTAGCGGAGTATACATGCAACATCATTCAGAGAGAGAGCGTGCCCAGGACAACAGAAGACGCCCTATTGACCCTAAGCTCTCAAACCTGAGTGTATAGGGTTCAGGATTGGGAGGCCGCAAGGCCCAAAAATCTCCACCCAACCCCATCAAACTCTCAACCCCCCCAAAACCTAAACCAGATTCCTAGACCCGAACACCCTCATAGTAGTCCTTCTAATCCTTAGAGGGCCCCCTAAACTCGCCACCCCAAATGCCGACTGAAGGCCAGAGTACTTCATCTTCGCTGGGCTGGTCTTCACACCGTTGACTGCTGGGGTCCAAGACATCTCTGAGTTTAAGATTGAGGGCTTCAGGACTTCGGATCTGGAGTTTCGCAAAAAGGATTGGAGGGTTTAGGAACTAGGGTTGCAGAGTGGGAAAGCCAACGTAGGGTTTTGCCAGGTGTAGCAAGAATTTGGTTTAGGGTTTTGGGCTTTCTGGTTCTTTCGGACTTTGCCGATACTGATACATGTTTAGGTCCGCACATCAAAGATATTCTTGTTTCTGGGCATGGGTATGTGTGTGTGTGTTTATCCCTGTGTGTGTGTGCAGACATCTCTGTCTCTCTCTCTCTGTCTCTCTCTCTCTCTCTCTCTCTATCTATATATATATATATGCATGTGTATAGGGGAAGGTGAAAATGTGCGTATGTGTATAAACAATATGTATGTATGCATGCATGCATGCATGCATGCATGCATGGATGGATGGATGGATGTATGTATGTATGTTTGTTTGTTTGTTTATATATACAATCAATCAATCAATATATATATATATAATGCGTACATACATACATACATACATACATACATACAGACAGACAGACCGACCGACAGACATACATACATGCATCGCATACATGCATACGTACATACATACAAAAAAACCGCGGTGACGCTTTGGTCGTGTGTGCTCTTGCCCTGCACTGTCCTGTCCTGCCCTTGCACTGCCTGCACTGCTGCCCTTGCCCTGCCCTTGTCGCTTGCACTGTCTTTCCTTGTCCTTGCTTCTGTACTGACTGCACTTCCCTTGCTGCCTGCCTTTCCGTGCCTCCTTTTGCTCTCGCTCTCTCTCTCCTGCCGAGATCCTAGGAAACAGTCCCCGCTGTGCTACATCGCCTTGTTTCCCCCCCCAAGAACCATGAACCCTTCGCCAGCGCCGAAAGCCATGGCCCTGTTACACCCGTGCTGGCATGGACTTCAGCCGCAGCTGGTAGATATGGCCTCTACGACGTGCACGCTGGGTTTTGGCTCACAGTTGAGTCTCTGCACAGACTCCTATCTGGAACAATGGTCGTTTTGCTGGTCCCTGCTAGATGACCTCGGAGTGTGACGAGCTTTCCTGCAGCGACCCGTGTCGAGACCTGGAATTTGCATAGGGAGTCCGAGCGAGAGCTCAACTGCCATACCTGCGACGCCTGGACCTCTGCACAGGTCTATACTTGGTAGTGTTCCAAGTTCTGGCTTGTTTTACCGCGACATCAGTAGTGCCGGGGTTTTGGCCTGATTTCCAACATGGCTGCATTTCCCGAGGGACCTTTGCAGAGCCAATGGAGGGGGCTCCACGTGAGCGCACTGCTGAGTCACGCTTGTGGCAACAGGATAGAGTGGGCGTGACACGTCTATGTTTCTAAACATTGCAGTGCATTACAAAACCGACTGGATTGTTCGCTGCGTCTTTTGGGATCTCTGCATAGATCCAATGAGTAACCTCGCTGCTTTGCCCTGTGGCTTCATTGGGACTAGAGCTATCTTACAAACAGCTGCTGGACTTTTCGGGGGAGCTCACTGGCTCACTGTTGAGTCTTGGGTGCGTCAGCTGCCTGGTGTAGATGCTTGGTACAGCTGCATTCTGGGGTGCAGCATTGCACTGCAATTTTGGCGAAGGGAGGCCTTTGGGAGTGTCGTGGCGAAGGAAATGCACTGAGTGAGTGAGAGCGGCTTGGAAGTAGTCTGTCAGGCTTCGCGGCTAAGCTTTTGTGCAGTATGTACGGACTGCTATGATGTTGTGTTCCTTGAGTCGGTAATGCTGAGTCTCACGTCGACTGGTTGCTTTGTTTTCCTTCAGCAGCTGCGTCGGTTCTCTGATACTCTTGACACCTGCCATGCAGTGTCTGCGGACGTTGCCAAGTGGGAGCCAAAAATACATACATACATACGTACATACATACATACATACATACATATATATATACATATACATACACACCTATTTAGACCAGAGGTTGTTGTTTGTTTATTCAAGCATGTGCCATCAACTGCTACAGGTGTATGTGCACCCTGCCCGAATACTTAGAAGACCACTAGCGCCGAAAAGAAACTTTTGCCTCGTTTCGGGCGTATCGCTGGGGGTTTAGGTCCGAACGGGTTATATTATTAGATAGCAGCAATGCAAATGCGGCTGCAATGAAAGTTCAGGCCAGGGCACGCACACACACACATGCTTCATCTTCCGGAACGGCGGTTGTTGTTGCGTGATCCGGCTGACACTGCACAAGTCGTGGAGCCGTGACTTCCGGGTGTTCGTGATGCTGATGATCGTCCTGAGTAGTTAATTTCCAAGTTTCAGTCTTTGGTGTGCTGTTTGTCCGGTGTACTACATGTCTTAAAACAAAAGAGTTCAAACAGCTTCATTAAGGGGCCCTGAGGAAATGTCCCACGAGTTTTTCAGGTGACTCGAATAGGCCTCTAGCACGGAGTTCCTTCAGCCGATGTGTTGTCGCATCTTTTTCCTTGGTTGGTTTAGGGTCCTTAGGGTGCTCTTAGAGGAGTACATAACAGGGTTTCTATAAAGGGCCTATATTTGGTCCGTCGTTGGGCTCAGGCTGACTTCTTGGAACAGGCATGGCCTTCTTCGCAGGAGCATTGTGCGGAAGAGCCGCTTCAGGGTGAGAGAGACTTTGATGGGATAGTGTTTCTGCTTGATCTTGTGGCGAGGAAAGCAAGTTCTTCTGCTTCACCCCAGTCCTACTGTTGAGTTTACATGTTGCGAAACACCGGGCGGGGAGACACTGAAAACGCCCTAAACTCTAAACCCTAGAGCAGTAGAGTCAACGACAATGCAGCTCATGGCGTATCGCTATACATTATCCTCAAAGCCCGACTATACAAGTGTGGAGTTTGTTTTGGTGTGTAGTAGGAGTAGGAGTAGCGGGAGCGGGAGCGGGAGCAGGAGCAGGAGCAGGAGCAGCAGCACCACCACCACCAGCTTGTGTTGGTGTGGTTGTTGTTGTAGCAGTAACAGTAACACACCACCCCCACCACCACCACCACCACCACCACTACCACTACCACTACTACTACGACGACGACTACGACTACGACGACCACGACGACTACTACTACTGCTACTACTACTAGTACATTGTGCCCACAAATTTAAAACAATAAGATGACGGAACTATCTTGGCAAGCTTGGTCAGTCGGGGGTGAGTAAGATTGCCAAGCAATTTTGGTCATCTTGCCCCACTTGCCCGCTTGCCCGCCGACTCGTTTGCCTTTTGGACCAAAATTGCAAGATTGCTGGCAATCTTGTTCTCCGTTCCTTGTTCCTTGCTTCACTTGCTGCTCGCCTGCTAGTTTACATTTTGGAGACCAAGATTGCTTGCTTGGCAATCTTCCCCCCCCCCCCACCGCAATCTTGGTCTAAAAGGTAAACTACTCGGCGAGACCAAGATTGCAAGATTGCTTAGCATTCTGGCTCAAATAATTCTTCTACATTCCCGGCACATTGTACTAGTACTACTACTATTACTACTACTACTCCTCCTCCTCCTGCTGCTGCTGCTCCTACCACCACCGAAGGTTCTGGAACTACTACTTCTACCACTGTTGCTATTACTACTACTACTACTACTACTCCTCCTCCTCCTCCTGCTGCTGCTGCTGCTGCTCCTGCTATTGCTATTGCTATTGCTACTGCTACTGCTACTGCTACTGCTACTGCTACCGCTACCGCTACTGCTACTGCTGCTGCTGCTGCTACTACTACTACTACTACTACTTTTCCTGCTGCTACTACTACTACTACCACTGCGACTTCTTTTGCTACTACTACCACCACCACCAGCGCCACCACCACCACCACCACCACCATCACCACGACTGCCTTGGCGCCTGGGCTTCTATTGCTCCCACTGCTCAGTGCAGTCCGGATACAAAGACCACTTGCTGTCGCTGCTACAAGCACGGCCACTGCTAAGACCGCCCTCATGCCAACCTCTGCGATACCTGCTTCTACTACCACTGCTACCCAACACCCAACACGACGACGACGACGACGACGACGACGAGTGCTCGTACCTGCCAACGCTGTTTGACTCTAGTGCTTTGCCTATGGCTCTTATGATTGGATTTCCGGGTCATTCCTCTTACCTTGGGTCCTCCAGAAGCTTTGCTAGCACGGCCGAATCGTTGACAACATTCCTGTTCCGTTTGTGGCATCATGTTGAACTTGCATTTCGATGATGTCGACCAGAGGGAGGTCATGTTCCGAAGCCTTGCGTAGAGCACAAGCAGATCTCGCATTTCAACCCAGAACCTGACACTTCTCCAGAACTCCAAACCCAAACCCCTCAACTCTGAAAGCTTGGCGACTCATTCCGAAGTTGGCCCGACAGGACCGGCCAGCTCATTTGATGGTTTTGTTCCACAGGCCTTTGCGAACATAGAAGTGATAATGAATGGCTTGGCACAGGTCCTCTGACTCCTTCTTCCCTGTAAAGTCTTACGGTTTCTGGGTTCGGACCATGCAGGTTCCAGGTGAAGGCAGAAGCCGGAAGACAATACACAGCGGTAAAGACAGCTACAAGAGGAATGTGATTTCTAGGTGAAGGCAGAAGCGGGACGAAAATATAGTCAGAGCAGTTAGAGCCGTAGAGAGAGCCGCAAGGGTAATGCGCATTCTATGGGTAAAGGCAGAAGCGAGAACAAAACCTCGTTTCTGCCGGGGCTTTCGCGAAAGTGCTGACAAGGGTCGTGAACATCCGGCCGTGATCTGGAAGTATGCCAGTGATCGAACTAATATTGGCCCCGGTGACAGCAACGGGGATATGCCACCCGCATTCCGGTGCACATGTCACAGTTCTTGCAAGAGTACGTGGTCTGATCCCAGGCCTGCTGCTTAAAGAAACGATGTTCGGTGTTCCTCGTTTTGATATAAGATCAGGTGAAAGCTTCGATACTCTCCATCTTCGAGAGGCTAAACAGTCCAGCCGTATGCCCTACATGCCGGCATCTGTGCCCTAAGCCGCACACGCACAGCACAGACGCAACTCGGCAAGGGGTGCCATGACGCCCGAGCGACGGCAAGCAATCGCCCGTTGCTTGAAGTTTCTGCCGGGCTCATTCAGAGTTTGATTTCGGGCTCCAGTGAGGATGTTCAGACATGATCAGGATGTGAAAGCATTTGGGAGAAGCTTTCATCGACGGCCAATTCAAGCCTTCGCAGTAATGTAGGCTTCCCCTACATCGATGAAATTCTTTCCTGTCGCAGATGAAGAAGCAAGGGGTGATTCCAGCTGTAGCCACGAGAAGTGCAGAGTACGCACCGGGAAGGCCAACGATCGTAGCCATAGTGCGCTCAGAAGCAGTGACAACCGTAAGTCAACTACAGATTCAAGCAGGTACAAGACCAATCAGGAGCTTATCACCCTACAGCCTAAACCCTCAACAAGAACCAGCTTATCACCCTAGAGCCTACACCCTCAACCCTCAAAGCCAATGAGGAATTATATCACCCAGCTTGAAATCCAGAACCGACCGGAAGCTCCCTCTACACATCTTGGGCCAACTCTAAGTCCTCGTAGTAACTCCTGGTAAAACCTTTAAAAGGAACCCTCTTTTTAAAGAGGAGCCCATAAAAAAAAAAAAAAGTCACCGCTTGAAGCCCCATAAAGCTTTGAGAGCCCAGATCTTGCTCAACATCCTAGCGGATGATGTGAATGCAGGCCGGCTCTTATCGGGACTCTCCTAGGGTTCTTGTAGAGCTCCTTTCGTTTTTGTTTAAATAGGGTGCTGAAGGGTGTCTTGCAGGGTTCTAGTTGTTTTTTGTACGGGATTCTAAGAGGGCTAATTATGGTAGGGTTCTTCTTGGATTTCCAGTGGTTTTCTGGGGGCTTCCATAAGGTTTCATGCAGTTTCAGGCTTTGGGGCCTTTGATTTTGAATTCCGTAGCTCAGGACTTGGGGGTTCGAGTCAGAGTGTGGTGTAGTAGAAAAAGGGGCCTGGTTGGTTAGCAACATGAGTCTTTAGGGTTCCTTGTTATATTCTACTATATGACAGACTATCCCAAAACCCTGTTCTAATTAATCAGTAAGGTTTTGCGCGCTTTCGGAAGAAAGAAGGCATGAGTGAGCAAGTTTGCAGGGGCCGTTCGCTGCTGATTCCGTTCTGAGAGGTGCTCAAGCCTAGGACTTCCCCAGACTTCTTGTGCCCCGTACCCGCAGCTTTGGTATATATAGAAGCCTTATAGTGATTGGAATAAGGCTCCTTAGGGTTCCTGAGTCGAACTATTATAGAGAAGTCTGCCCCCAAGTTCTATTCGAATATTCAGGCATATATCTTAAGGCCCATTATCTCCGAAGAGGCTGAGCTTGGAAGCCCGGTCTCACGAAGCCCGGAGGAAATAGAGGGCCTGATTAGGCAGAGCCGGGATTTGTTTGCAGATTCTGCGAAAGAGTTTAACTTGTAGGTTGCTTGGCAGTTTCGACTAGAGAGTTGAAATTAGGCTCGATTGGCAGACCTGCCGGGTTGGATCTTCGATGACGCCTCAGGCGCCATGGCAATAAGCTTTCGGCTGGCACGGAGCCTTCCCAGGCGCTCCTTCACTCCAGGTCTAAGATGCGTCAGTGAGCAGCCCAAATCTGCCGCTCATGCTCTCCAATCGCCACTGAGAGCGGTAGATGACTTCCAGTACATGTCGCGAGAAGAGGAACGTATCGTTAGAACTACATTGCACGAAGTGGGGACCCAAGCCGACATGAAGCTCTCTCTGAAGGTTTATCACTTTCAGGAGCTTTCGCGAACATCCCTGTCCGACGACCGTCTGCGAAGGGATTCGCGGTACGTTCGCTTGAAGCAGGACTTGCAAGAAGAGGTGTCCCAGCTGTCGCCTGCACAGCTCGTAGCGGCAATGGTTTCTTGCGGCCGCTTGCGTGTGCAAGAGAAGGCAATTTGGTGGGATTTGGCGCGTGCAGTGGAACGGCATACGGTCAAAACTCGCAGTGGTGCACCGGGCCTGCAGCACTCACAGATTTGTTTGGTCATGTACTCGCTGGGAAAAGCCAATATAAAGATCAAGGACCGCTTCTACTATCGCACTTTCAAACTAATGGTGCGCAATGCGGAAGTCTGGACAGAGTTCGATATGGCTTGGATCCTGTACGCGATGCGAAAACGCAGGCTTAAGCCTTTTGTTGAGGAGAAAAAGGAGCATCAGATGTGGGCCAAGGTTACGATGAATGTCGCTGCTTACTTCAGCCAGAAGATGCACTTCATGTCACCACAAGGAATTGTTTTCATCCTTTACGAGTTCGCCAAGCAAGGGCTTTACCCAGGCGCATCGATCTTCCGAGCAGGCCGGCGTGTTCGGAAGCACGTCGCCTCCTTGAGCAACAAAGCCTTGGTGTGCCTTGCAGCTCCTTGGTTCTCGAATACCCAAGTTTTATTAAAGTGTAGTAGTCTACAAGCCAAAAGACTAGCTTTTTACTTCGGTGGTGGCTTATTGGGAAAGTGAGGTTCTACTTGCCAAGTTCGACTGGCCAGAGCGCCGCCTCTTGAAGAAGCTCAGCGCCGAGGTGACGAAGCCACGGCGTCTGGTGCAGCTGCATCCCAACATGTTGGCCGTGATCTTGCACGCCTACGCCAGGCTTGATGTCCGTGACATAGCTCTCCTGGAGAGCATCACCGAAAAGCTGAGCAGGTCTCCAGAGAAAATGGCCCGCAGATACACCACGACAGTAGCACAATCCCTTGGCCGCCTGGGAGTGCGGGGTACCGTTTGGAAGCCGCTTTCCGAGCGAATCTCCGAGCAAATTGACTTCTACAGTCCACTCGAGATGGCCCTGATCGCCCATGCATTTGGCAAGGCTGCCGTGCGTGAGCGGAGTCTCCTGGAGGGTCCACTCACGGAAGCTGCCCTGGCAACTGTCAGTGGTTATACGCCAAAGCTTATCGCTTGCCTGCTAGATGGCTTGACCATGGCAGGCTGCTTGCGTGAAGACTTGTTCAGCTCCTTCATGGAAGAATACATTCGCCTGGGCTCGATTGGTGGTCGGCAGCGGCAACACATGATGGCACGGATATTGTTCGCAGTCATGCTCGAAAGAAAACATCTGCTGGAAAACCGAAGCGCGGCATGGCAGCCACTGCTAAGCCGCATAGAGCATGCACCCACAGATGCGGTGCCGTTGCCGCACCACCGAGAGTTAGCCAGCTGTGCACGGGCATTATCTCTGGACGCCCGCGTTCGACGGCGGAAGGGCCCGTACATCGTGGACTTGCATGTGCCGGTGGACGCCCACATTCCGGCAAATCCTGGTGCTAAGCACGTGATCTCGGGCCTGGCAATCCACCTCATGGCCGAGGCGGAGTTTTGCCCCCTGACTGGTGAGTTGCTGGGGCCCACACGGCTAAGACGTCGCCAGTTGGAGCGCATGGGCTGGCAGCACTTGGGACTTCGGCGCAAGGAGTGGTTGGCTCTGCCCGATACCGATGCACGGGTCACCGCCCTAGAGGCCCTGCTCGTGAAGCACGTTCCCCTGCGGCGCCGTTCCTTGACGGAACAAGCTCTGCCCCTCCAGATCACTGACTCGCAGCAAGTCCTTCTGCCGAGCTCCTCCGCCCTTCAGGAGTCGCACGAGTCGGAGACCGGAGATGTGAGCCGAGAGCCAGCTTTGCTAGAAAGCATCGAGGCCTCGGAGCCGGATCAGGAGGCTAAAACCGCTGACACCTTCTACTTACTGACTACTGCTTCAGTACCCCTGCTTTTCGGATCCTGGTTCATGGATTCCACAGTACGATAGTGACTAGTTACTAGTTGTTTCATCGTTACAATCTGTCAAGCGCGTCGCCTTTGTTCAGTATTGGTGCCCTCATCGTCATTGTCACACTGATCTTGTCATCGCCACCATCATCAACGTAATCATCTTGGCATATTGCACGATTATGTTCACGCCTATATCTTATCACCTCAGCACCAAAAAAACATTGCATTGTCGTTATCTTTCTCTCCGTCATCAGTACCATCTAGCGTTCCATTCTGGAGAGGCATACCCAAGTCATCACCACCATCACAGCAGAACCATGGTTGCGTAGTGCTAGAGCTTGAGCCCCTTACCAGTCGAACGTCTAAGCTTCACCCAAAGACCCTGCGCCTCAAACCCTACACTACTGCTCGAACCCCAAGCCTTGTCACTACATCTTAAACCCTGCATAAGCCCTAAACCCTGAACCCGAAATCCTATAACCCTCTGCTGAACCCTAAACCCTATCCCTCCTAAACCCTATAACCCTATAACCCAGTAACCTCTGCTTCAGACCCCCCTCTGTGAGCTCCTCTGCCAGGTCACGGCTCGGGGTACGTGGGCGCACCCATCCTTGAGAGTCGCAGCCTTGTTTCCAGCGGTAGGACTCCCTTGGAAGAAGGGTTATACTCAAAAAAAAGGTATGATTCCTTATCACAAAAGTACACCCGGGTTAGTTACTAGAATTACTAGAAGGGTCCTAGTTTCTCAGCATGAATCTGAAGGAATTTAGGGCTTTTTTCCTTGACCGGTTGCGGCGGTCTAGATTGAGGGGGTTTAGATTATGGAGAGTTTACAAGTAAAGGCCCAAAACCTTATTTTTGTATGTCGTTGGCAAAATTTGTCTTTATTTGTCTTTATTTGTCCGGATTTGTTTTTATTTTATGTTTTTGTCTTTATTTATTTTTTAAAGGGTTTATTTTGATCAAGTA